AGGAGGAGGAGGAGGAGGAAACCCTTCTCTAGAGGCTTTGCTGCAAAGCCATGCAGGAAAGGGATGATTTCTTGCTCCCGCTCCTCATGCCATGGCGTTCGCTGCTGCGATTTAAAGATATAGTGAAACTTGGGAAGGTGCCAGGGGCAACCCAGGAGGCCTTGCTGTGACGGTGGCACCCCGGCCCCGGCAGGTGTACGTGGAGGACGTGCGCAGGGAGTTCGTGGAGGAGTTCGTGTGGCCGGCGGTGCAGGCCGGCGCGCTCTACGAGGAGCGGTACCCGCTGGGCACGGCGCTGGCCCGGCCCTGCATCGCCCGCAGGCTGGTGGCCATCGCCCGGAGGGAGCGAGCCCTGTATGTCGCGCATGGCGCCACGGGCAAGGTGAGCAACGGACCGGGATGCTCCGGGAAGGGGGGTCCCCGCTGTCCCCGCTGTCCCCGCTGTCCCCAGCCCTGCCAGCAGGGCTGTCGGTTGCCACTAGAGGCAGTCAAAGACCGCAGAAACGTCGTTCAGGGAGAAAACGCTGGTTTATTCCCATTTTACCCCGAGCGTAGCCGGGCTCTCCCTGCAGAGTGACCCATTCCTGTTCCCATTCCAGTGGAAGTGGCTCAGGACGAGGGCGAGCGCGGCCGTTCTGCCCTTCCCAGGCTGCATCCCTCCTGGATGTGCCCCTGTGTCCCGGCCTGGAGGAGGAGGTGGGCGAAGGCTGGTGCCTTCGGAGAAGTTAGGGATGCGGATAGGAGCGGGGTGGGAGTCACTTGTCCCGTCTGGTTCCAGCAGCGTCCGCATATCCCTGGGACCTGGCAAAGGATGGGGAATCCCCTGGGGAGCTCTGGGTGCCCAAGGTGCTGAGGGGCTCTCAGCCAGGCTGCAAGGAGGGCATGGGGGGCACTAGACGTGGGGAGGTTTTGCCGGGCCCCGGCAGCATCTCCAAGGAATTACGCCCTCGGAGCGGGCGGGTTGCCGGTAACCCGAGCCCACCCCGGCTGAGCCGCAGCATCCGAGCACCGACCATCTGCGGCGGCCCCGCGGCGGGAGCAGATGGGCCCGTTTTGGGCTGCGAGGGGACGAGCGGATACAGCCGCATGCGCGGAACAGTCCCGGGGGGGTTCAGCCCCACAGTAAATGCATCCTGCAGCCGGGCACGGGGAGGGGGCTCCGGGTGCCCCCGGGGGCTGCTGCAAAGGCGGCTTTAGCAAAGGACATTCCCATGGGAGGGCTAATAACTCCCAGGCTGGCTCCTCTCCCTCTTCCCAGACCCAGGCTCGTTAGCGGGGCTCACCCAGCATGGGCCAATTAAGAGCAAGGAGGTTCTGGTCTATTTAATGACGAGCTTAGGGCTCTCTCTGCTTTTCCTCTCCCTTTGCATGACCCTTGTTGCTTTGGGTGCTTGTTGGAGATGCGATGGGGATGCAGCATCATGGGGCAGCCCCTGGGGACACAGGAGCCGCTCGTGGTGGCCCCTTCCCCGCTCCCCCTCAGGGGGCAGTCGGGGAAGG